AGGTCCCTTCCGGCCCTAGAAACTATGAAACTATGAAAACTGCTCACAGGGAGTGCTGAGCCCATCCCTATCTGCTGCAAGTGGTGCTGACATACGTGTGCCCCAGTGTCAGCCTGCAATGAGGGTGCCCAGCCCATAGTGTAGTGGCTGGTATAACTTGACCCCATATTTCTGATCCAAAAGGTTAGGTTGACTTATACACTGGATCTATGAAATTCCTAACTTTTTGGATCAGAAAAATGGGGTCAACTTATACACCATGTCGACTTATACACCATGAAATATGGTACACCTTTGTGCCTCAGCTCCCATATGTAAAATGGTGATAATACGTCCTTTCTCCCATTCTTTGCATGACCTGCCTATATAGACTGTAAGCACAAAGAACATGGACTCTCTCTCAACGTATGTAAAGAACTTAACCTACTGAGGCCCTGATCTCAATGAAATCTCTTGACTATTATGGCCAATAAGAAAATGAAGATAATTTCTAGTTAGGCTGGTAAATTATACTGAGCCAAACTTTTATGGTGTCTGTGTACATATCAACTTCATTCACAAATCCCACATGCATATGGCTAAAGATTTTGTTTCCATGAATAAATTACCAGTTTGGGAACACAAACTACTGTTTGCAGGCAAATGTGACCTGTGCAAGCAAACTAGGTTTCATGTATATTTCCCCATATACAGCTACTGTTGACAAATCTTTTAAAAGCACAGGCAATAGATGTCACCTGCAAAACAACAAGCTAGACACTCAGAAAAACCTAAACTTACTATTGTTAATTAAACAAAGTGGCAAATTACCTGCTTCAGGGAAATCTCCATAGTTGAGATAACTGATGGATGCTGAAAAATGAATATATAAGTGTCAGTAAAGCTATTTATTTATGCTTATTTCTATCACAACTAAGAAGAAAAAAGATCTGAACATCTCTCTGACAATATAATAAATAAAACTACAAATCAACTTAGTTTAGGTAAGTATGAAAAAAAAGATCAGAAATAATCAAATCCCTGGCCCCCAAAATACACATGGGTAAATATTCCCTGTTATTTTCAAGCAAACTGGTTTTTATTCATGCAGATTGCACTTCACCCTGTTGGGGAGGGGTGGGGGGCAGCATTGGGCCTATGTATCAACTTAAGATCTTATTATGCACTTTTCTAAAGGCTTAAACGAGACTTAAGGGATACAAGCTGCTCTTCTGCATCCAATGAATTTTGCGTCTATTGAAGTCAGAGAAAGCTTTGCCAATTCCTATTCTCCTGTATCACCTAACATCTAATAGAATAAGATATGTCTAAGCCTATTGTTTAATTTTGATTGCCTGGGGAGGGTGGGAGAGGGGTAAAGAATGGTTTGCAGCCATCCTTCCTTCTTCAATTTTCTGTATTTTCTTTAAAGAATATAGAGAGAACATTTCTGAAGTGGAGGGAAGTCTGCTAAGCAGAGAAAAAAACCCCAAGCCTTTGGTATTAAATATGATATGGCACGTTTGCCCTTGACGTTACATTTTAAGAATGCAGCAAATTGGTGCACGTACTGAACCTCCTGATTACTTGGCAGCCCATCGAGCAATCTTGGTATTTTCAAAGTGATATTTATAATTGGTGTCCATAGCAGCAGAAAGATGACATGGAGAACCTTTAAATCAAGAATGTTCTCATCATATAGATGAGGCATCCAAAGGCATGCAGAGTGATTTACTCTGTAAACCTATTTTTACAGTGTGTGCTGGGTGAATTTGTGATACCCCATTTCAAACTCGCTCAATTATTTTGGGGTAAAAACTTTCATTAAGACCTTCATATTTGCGAGTTTTCACTACAGCTAGGAAAGAGAACAAAGACAAAGATGAGGTGGTAGGGAGAGAGCAGAACAGAAATGAGAAACATAAGAGTAGGGGAACCTCACAGAATAACAGGGGAACTGAGGGAGGCTGAAGAAAAAAAAAAGAATAAGAAAGAAACAATTAAATCCAAAGATCAACAGACTGAAGACGTTATGTTCTCCGCTACACTGGTGTAAATCCAGAACACCTCCAAAGCCATTAGCTCTATTAATCAGCGTTTGTTTTGGTGTAACAGTGAGCAAAATTTGGCTCAGTGTAAAACTGTATTAATATGGAATCCATGTACATAAATTAGCTCAATTTTCTTCTAAGAATCTACCAGGACTGTCAAATGCTCAAAACTCATGAACTAACATCTGCCCCCCAATCATGAGACTTTACACACACACACACACACACACACACGCTTAGGCACACACGCATAGACACACACTAAGCTCTTTGTTTTTATTCATCTCCTGCTTTATGATACTTCAGGGTTCATATTTTCAAGTTCTTTCTCCATAAACACAATAACCTGAAAGCCGTTGTAAAAAGAAATCAGGTGACTCCAGAAGCTATGGCGTTGAGACAACAAACACCAAAAATCAGTGAGTCACAATTAAACTTACAAAATCAGACTGGTTTTGGTTGAATCACTTTGAAAAGCCAAGGGACTTAAAATGAAATATAACATCCATTTGGAACCTAAACTAGTTTTAATAAGCAAATAGTCTGACAGGCTGAAATTAAGGATATTATACTCTGGCCCTATTTAAAATGGCTGTTAAAGTTTACCTTGAATATTTGCAGCTCTTCCAGGACTACTTCCTCCTTTGCCCACTTCTCCTTGGTAATACTTACAACTTTGAGAACTGTCCCTAGATCTGAAAAAAAAAAAAATGTAATAATGTAGTGTAAAACTAGTGGTATTTTTTGGTATTTAAGCCTTTTACTCTTTTGGACTGCCTTCATATCAATTCTTCTTCACAAATGTTTTCTTTCTAAAGAGGAAAAAAGAAACTCAGACCATAGATCATGTTCCACATATCCAGGACTTTGCTCTCAAAAAGGCTTCTAGCTGTCTTAGGAATGTGCATGATCCTCATTAACCTAGTATATGACAACCTCAATATTTAGTGTATTTATCGTAACAGAACACCTGTGAGGGAAGCTAGGTTATTCTCCTTACTTTATAATGGGGAACTGAAGCACAGGGAGTCTCACCCGTCTTGCCCAAGGTCACATTCAGGAAGCCTGTAATGGAGCTGGAATTGAACAAGTCTATCAAGCCTTTGGCTACTGGGCCATCCTTCTTCAAACATAGTACTGATCAAAGCTTAAAGTCCTACCGTGTTTTGCTGATTGGGGGGCTTAACGACTACATAACCAACATACAGTATATGATGTTTTAAAAGAAATATAGACAGTTGTTTAAGATCTCAAATCTTGATGTACTCAAGTGCATACCCTTCAACCTGTTGAGGTGCAGAGATGGGAGGCAAAGTTAGCTCTCTCACCACTTCTTCCACTGACTGTAAGTTGGAGTCTTTGTGACTTAGGCTGCAATTCCTACCGAGGTGAAAACCTCTCTCAAACTTCACAGGAGGGGGCGGGGGGTTATACTTCAAAATCACTTTTGAGAATTGGGTTTAATTCTGCCCTG